ACCTGGAATGAGGTGAGACAATTATAGGCCTTTGACCGTGTACAGTGAAGTCAGGAAGGAAGGAGGAGTTGCCATTTTGCAGAAGAAGAGCTGAACTCTCCTCAGCTTGGTTCTAGTGAGTATTTTGCAGGGATTGCCTTTAAGTGGAAGGGAGTGGATCGTCTTCTCCCGTTATACTGCTGAAATGCTACTTTAAGATACATGGTTGTCACTGGCCAGGGAAGGACTAAATAGCTGCCAGTTGCTCAGAAAATGTGGAGCTGAGATGATTAATCTCCTCCCCTCTCCCCTGCCTGCCCAGCATTCATCTCTGCATTACGCAGTTGCACACGAAGTCTGGTGTCGCTGAACAGTTCCTGAAAGATGTCAAAGACAGCATTGAGGAGATCATGAAGGACCCGAAGGCCAAGACCACAGGCATGGTAAGGAAGCCAGCATATAGTGAGGGTGTGTTTGGGCTGAGCGTGTTTCTCTGATGGCATTAACGATCCTATGTGATGACCTTCTCTTCTCTGCTTAGGGAGCCATCTATGGAATGGCCCAGTCTGTCCCAGACAGGAGCTTGGTAGCGGAGATTTCTCAGGCATACTTGGACGGCCTCTACAGCACAGATGTTCCTTCCAGTGAAAAGCACATGAACGGCTCTCCTGGCCACCACTGACTGCAGCGCAACAATCGGTGCCTTGCCAACTAGGACTGGGGTGGTTGTAAAGGTTTCCTAGGGGAAGAGATTGCAGTAAGCCTTTGTTCCTACAATTGCAGGTCTGATGGCTGCTTGATCTTGAAAACTTCCTTCCCCATCTTTAATCTGTTCTGATATCTTCATTACTTTCATGCCCAACTTTAGTTTTAGGGCTTTTCTTCCCTTCTCCCTGCCTATTTTCATCCTAACTATTGATGGTGAATTGAATGTCCATTCCACAACTCCAAATTCCTCAGGTATTCTGTGTGTCACTTCATTCCTTGCTGTTTCTTCTCCTCAGACCTGGTATTCAGCTGGTGTCCAGCCAAGTGTTAGATTTGAGTTCTCATATTTTGTTCCAAAGCTTCAATCTTCCCAGAAGTTGAAGGTAGAAAATAAATGGAATATTTTGTTTTCTTTTGAGTGTTCCTCCAAGCTGCTGCATTTAACAGACGGTGCTGGGAGCCTTGTATCTGTGTAATGCAGAGCCGATAAATTGGCAAAGGAAAGATGGTCATGTACTCTTTTTGAAATCCCCTATGGAGATCTCCGTGAGACTGCAATCAATACCTACTGAGGGGGGGGAAAAAAAAAACCCCAATGCAAAATCCTTTTCTGGAATCTCTTGGTTTGAGTAACAGCAGAAATAGAAACCAAGCGAGCGGTGTAGGGAGAGGAGCTGGATGGTACTGAAAATCCTAGGTACGTAGTAGCTGTTTTGCTTCCCTGCCTCTTGTAGGAGATGTGCATTCACCACCTAGAGTGCTTGTTGTACCTTGCACAATTCTGGAGGGATGTGCAAAACAGCGATTTCACTGTTCGTAACTTGAAGGTTTTGCACTATCTCACAATGCTGTAGTAGAGTCAGTCAGGCCCCGGCGGGTGTTGCGGCTAGGGGCTTCACGTGCAAACGGGTGGCACCAAAGCTGACCTTTTTTTACCGTGCTCTTTTAGTATAAAAAGGTGACTTTTGTAATAGTAATCATCTCTGCTCTTTGCACTGATTTTTTTAAGGCACATTCTCAAAAGGGCATTCACCATTGTGCCTTGATGCTTCTCTGGCTTTTTTTTTGTGGGATGCCAGGGAGGGTTCAGCTGTTGACTGCAGCATTTGCTGCAGTTGTTTCCTTATGGTACTATACTAAAAAAAAAAAAACCTCAAAGGCAGACTGGCCTCAGAGAAAGTACGCTCGCCTATAAGGTAGAATAATAGTTGTATTGAGCCAAGTCCCTTCACAGTATTACAAAGATGCTGGTATAACTCTGAGAGGTAGATGATAGGATGCAGCGAGTTGGAGGTATTCAAGCCTTGGGCATGTGGCTCTCCCTTCCTATTTTTCTTTGCTGTTTTTACAGTGAGAGAGTTTTCCCAGTGCAACTTGTTGAGGCAGTTGTGACCTTAAAAACAAGCTAGAATCTCTCGAGTTATTAAACAGTGGTGGAGTTGCTCCTGCAGGGCTTTCCCAGGTGTTCCCTCTCAGCTTTTTCCATGCTCCCGAGAGTTTCCCGGGCAGAGTTCAACACTTGGGAGAAGACTTCTTCGTGCCACGTCTGCAGTGTCTTGTGCAGGGCATCCGAAGGCATCTGTCTCTCTGCTGTAGTGGGCTTGTTTTAGCCTGAAGCTGACCTTCCCTGGCTTAACCCAGCCAAAGCACACACTTGCACAATAACTATACTAGATGAGAAGGCTTCTTACAGCCACTGCTCGGACCACAGTAGGCTTGGGCCCGGGTGATTGCGGGAAGAATACTTGCTTTTTAACAGGTTTGTTCTCAGTGCTAGGAGACAAAAGTATTTTGGCCATCTGCCCTTAAATTGATGACTTTATGCATGTCTCTGAGCCCTTTTGATAACATCGCATTTGAATTGTCTGATGGTCTCTTGATGGTGTTACCAGCTTGGCAGTCAGCATTTATGTTGGACCTTTTTATTCTGTTAATGTCTTGCCAATGTGACCATTACTGCATCTCTGAGTTGGCTGTACTTTGTGGACAGTCTTAAGTGTCTGGCTACTGTGATGGTTCTCTTTTGAACCGAGATTTAAAAAACAAAACAAAAAAGGGAGGTACTCTTTTTGTTTCTGCTTTAAAAGAAAAGGGGGGATGGATTGGTGTGGGGTTAAGGAGAGAGAATCTCCCTCCTCTTCCCCGGTTGCCTTCTCCTCGGAGGGAGGAGGTGGATCTAACGGATCAGTGCTTCATTTCATATTTTTGGATGTATTTGAAGATGTTATTTGTAATTCAATGTATTCTGTTCTGGGCTTCACTTACTATTAATATTTGTGGGTTTAATTATTTTACGTGTATTTGTTCTATACTGTAAATGTAATCTTCTGGTCAGGAGTAGGCCACTGTAATTTACTGGTGTGTAGTCTTTATTCATCCTTGTCATCTAACATGTAATCTGCATCTCCTTTATCATGCCAAACGGTCTTAGGAGAACGGTGCGATTAACAGGCTGTATAATTATTTAATAGACAAAAAAAGAAGAATTTTATGGACTGGATTATGATCTGAAACTGGATGGTACTTTAGACCTGGAGGGATCTTTGCCACTATTAATTCCTGCGAGATTTCTGCCTGTCAGGTTTTCTGAGAGAGACGCTAAATTTGTTGCTTGTGCAAATCCCTTGGGAGTACTTTGTACGCTCTTAGGTACTAGCCTGAAGAATATCCGATGGGATGGACCAAGAAGAGATGTGTGTCTTCATGCCATGGATTTCATCTGCACTTTCCTGATGACTTGGGGGAACAGGGAGTGGAAGGGTTGCGTACAACACAATAATATCTTGCCCAATAAATACACATACTGACTTTTTAATGAACAAATGGGGACGAGTTCATATGATGGCAGTATTCTGTATTCCTCTGATTTGCCACTGTAAGACTGAAGTAGCTGAAGAGATGGTGAAAATGGGCCTAGTTTGTATTAAAATGGTGCATTTGGCTATCTGGGCTCATTGAACTCTTATTTTTTTCTGTTTTAGTGGTCTTTTGAATGAACGGGGAACTATTGCTCCTGGTCTTTGCTCATGCACAGCCTGGTCTGTGGTGGGGAGAGTGGTTTCTGCATCTCACTAACTGCCCGAGGGCTGCGCTCTCGTTCTGTCAAGATAAAGGTGGTGTCTGTGGCTACATCTTGCGTGTAATGTTCAAGGATGCTGTAAATTGTAATTTAAGAGCTATGGATTTTCTCTTAATGCTGTATAGAACTTAAAAGGGTTAAAAAGAAAAAAAAAAAGGACCTGAACTGGGTGTTTGTAATGTTTCTCCCAGACTGTTTTGCTGAAAGCAACTACTGTCGCTTTCATGGCAATTTGTTCCTGTTGTACCGAAAACGCAGCAATTTGGCTGCAGGCTCCCTGAATGCTGAGATCATTGTGTTGCTGGAGTGAAGATCTTACACCAGCAGGTCCACCGACAGCCCCTTTTGGGAGGTATCCCACTGTCAGAAGCCTCTAGCCCATTGCTTGTACTGCTTTTGGTTGTGCCTTCCCCGTGTTCGTGCCTTGGCTGTGGTATGTTTCTGATTTGAGCACAAGCTTAGTTTTTTTATCTAATCTGCTCTGGTGTTGATAATCTCATTCTCTTTCAGGCCCCGTTCACTTTGAGGTGCAGGCCTGCGAAGGCACGTGCCATTTCTCTGCGTTGCTTCGTCAGGAAGCTTTTCCATGGTAAATCACCTTCTTGAGAGCAATCAGTACCTGCCTTGGGAAAACCTGGTGGTGTAATTTTGACAGTGAGGCGTCCTTCCAAACTGACATCAGGTTAACCAAGACCTTTATTGTAAACATTTTCAGTTGGTATCCTGCTCAAGGGTGGTTACGATAAGGGGCGAGATCATGTCCCTGCTGGGAGAGGCTACAGGAATAACCAAATTGCACATCACAGTTGCTGGTATGTTAGAGAGAAACCAGAGGGTTCAGGTACCGTGTTTTAGGTGGAAAGCGTGGGGGGTAAAAAGCAGTAACACACTGGCTGGATGGGGTCAGGCTCTGGGAGGATTTACTGGTGCAATTGTGTAACATGACTCCTGGTAAACGGGCACGGCTGCTGAAAGCCTGAGAGGCTCAGCGGTTTGTGGACTGGTAGTGTGAAGGGTTTTAAGAATGGGAACAGCAAGATCAGAGATGGGTATCCGCATGGTGCGCAAGAAGTGCCTCCATCCATCCGTGGCGGGGAGTTTGGCATGGCAGTGGGCAGTCTGGATCCAGGAGGTGGCTTGGAAGGGGGAGAGGGCTCTAGGTGCAGCCATCCAGGCGAGATGCGGGTTGTGGCAGAGGCAGAGGTGATTTTTGGCTTCACGTGTCTCTCTCTAGTCAGGAGAGAGAAGCTGCAACCTGCTCGATGAAGCCGGCCAAGTTGATGTCTCGCTCCGATAAGCCTCCACACTCGTGGGTGCTCAAGGTGATGTGAACCTAAACCAGACAGACAGACGGACCAAGTGTTGCTGGCAGAAAGAGCAGGAGCAGTTTCCCCCAGTGCTGCAGCCGGTTCGCATCTGATGAGGCAGGTAGCGCTATTGCTTTGTCCAGACTTGTTAGGAAAATTTCCCGGGGTGGGAGAGGTGGTCTGGCATTTTGCCTGTTTTTCTCCTTTCTACAGCTCCTCCTGGCCACAAGCTGTCACTGCCACCCCTGCCTTGGTCACAGCACCCAGCTGTGCCCACTTTTCAACCCTCTCTTTCTTCAGAAGCTTTTCCCCTTGGTGCTACTTCTGATACTGATATTAAAAAGCGACCCTGGTGCTGGCCTACTGGTAGCTACTGCTCAGCTGGACAGGTGGAAAAAAAGGAGGAAAGGATCTGTAGGTGATAGCTGTGGGCTGGCTGTGATATGCCGAGGGAATGGCATCTGAGGAAGGGGGTCAGGGTCATCAGATCAGGGTCCCGCTGATCTGAACAGCGCTTGCTGTTGCTGGTTTATGCCTCACAAAAGGGATGTGTTTCCCTGAAGAGCTCAGGTTGCCCCCCTCTTTCTTACCTTATTGTACACGTTGAACCATTCGGGGTGGTGATCCAGTTTTTCTGCCTGTAGAGCCACTCTGGTCATGAAGCCAAAGGCCTGCGCAGTGGAATAAGGAGAAAAGTTAGCTCTGAACTGCTTACCCTATGATACATTGTTTTTAATCTCCTTGCTATTAATTTTACACCACATGTTTCTAGATAACCCAACCAAAAGCAGGGCCTAGGATGTTCTGTATCTTTGTTGGGGTTTTCTATGGGCTCTTTTTGGGAAGCTTTTCCCAGACAAACCGTGTGCTGGGTTGAGCGCTTCGGTGTCTTGGGCAGGTTATCTTGCTCAGCAATTACATTTCAGGAAGAAACACGGAGGGGTTTCTTTGGCTGAGCCTTGCAGGTGGGACTCTTTGCTCTGCAGACCAGGTCTCCCGCATTGTAAAGCTCTGTACCACCGATGCTCATACCCGGTTGAAGTCCTTGAAGTGGAACTCTTTGAAGATGGCGTCTCTGCCTTCCACCTCGTTCCACCCCACGGCTCTCAGGTTCGGCAGCAGCCGCTCCCTCTCCTCCGCGCTCAGCCTGTGGGCTTTTCCTGCCTGACACCGTGGGAAGGAAAGGGAAGAGGAGCAGATCAGCGTGGCAGAGGTAGGATGAAGCAAATGCTCAAAGCAGCGAGGTGTCCCATGGGTCGTGGAGTCCACGGAGGTGGCTGTGGACTGGGTGGGAGGGTTGGAGTGTGTGCAGACCTGAACTGCAGGGTGCTGGTGATAGGGGAAGTATCACTGCTGTCCTCTGCTCCCTGCCCTGGGATATGTCCTGTGTCTACCTAGGTCAGGTGAAGTCCAGCTTATTGCTTTTGTCCTCTGACCTCCAACATCATCTGCTTTACTAGTGGATATACGTATTTGTTATAACCTGAGGTATTAAGAAATGATGGCTGTGTGAGGTTAAGCTCCTAAATGCATTACATGTAATTTTATGGGAAAAAAACCCAACCCTTAAACTCTGTGATAGCTTCTAGAACTGAGAATTGCTTGCTTTTTGGGGTTTGAGAAATACCTTGCTGAAGCGGGAGGGCTTTTTTTGCAGGTCGTCTGCACTGGAAACCTGCTTTGGAGGAGAAAGAAGTGTGAATCAGAGAGATGACTCACGCTAAATTGGAGTTCAGCTCCTTTTCCTTTTCAATCTCCCTTATGTTATGTGGAGTTTAAGAGGCTGTTTCTGTCTGAGTAACAAAGGGCGGAGGGAGGGATTGTGATTTAGCATTGTCTTCCCCTCTTGGGCAGAGCTGCAGTTGTTTGTTTAAGGGGAAAAAAAAAAAGCTTCTTGGCTTTAGGGAGTGAATATGGGCAAAGATGAAATTAAAATGGAGTTCTTGGGGATGGGGGCTACCCGAGCCAGCATGTTTTCTGGCTCAGTGGGGCAGGCAGGACTGAGTGCAGAAAGGGGTATTGCTCTGTCTGAAAGGTTATGTTCCTGGCAATTGAAATTCTTTCCTAGTGGGTGATCTGATCTTTCGAGTTGGTGAGGATTGTTGTTCCTCTGTGGCAAAGACTGACACCTCTTCAAGATTTGTTTTCCTTTATATGCTGTAGAGCAAAGTGTGGCAAGTTAGATAGGAGTCGCAACAACCACAGCCCCCTGTTTCTTGGGGGTGTTTGCTCAGCTGCCTGAGATGCTGCTCCTGAGCATCGATGCCCATGCGAAGCGTCTCAAGGGGCTGCTGGCCACAGAAGGCAAATCCACCTTTCCTACAGTTCCCCAGTTTATAGGCTGTATGAGCCCAAAGAGGCAGCTATGGAGCTGATGTTTTTGTAGGTGGTTCTTTGGCTTCGTGTGTTTTGAGGAAGACTGGAAAGCTTTATGCCCTGAGGGTGGTAAAACACTGGAACAGGTTGCCCAGAGCGGTAGTGGAGGCCCCATCCCTGGAAACATTCAAGGACAGGTTGGATGGGGCTCTGAGCAACCTGATCTAGTTAGCAGTGTCCCTGCTCCCTGCAGGGGGGTTGGACTAGATGACCTCTAGGGGTCCCTTCCAGCCCAAAACATTCTACGATGATTCTATTCCCATGTTACTTGGTGTGCTAAGCCATCGGGCTGCGTGGGTGCCTATGTGTCAGTGTAGCATGATTCTTATGCTTGGAGAAAGCTGTCGGCTGCAGAGCGCTTTGGGAAATGGAGAGTGCCAAGGTGCGTGCTGAACCTCAGCTCAGGGGTGGCTCGGCATGGGATGGTTCCCATCCCCCTGGCATCACGGCTGCACGCTCTCCCTCTTGCATGCTGTTTGGGGAAAGCTCCAGCCTCGCTGCTAGCGTCCAAACCACCCCTGTCACCCTTCAGTTTGTGTGGTG